GCTTTGATAGCACGTTGCATTGTCATGGACTCAAGGGGTGCATGCCGTACAATATTTTCGCCACTCTGAGTCGAGATTTGGCATTCGTTGGTGTTCAAGGGCAGATCTCATGTTTGTGACCTAGTTAACAACAATAGCCATATCTTTAGATGGTGTAGTCCTGTCATTCTTGCTAAGAAACTTGCACTCATCAGCAAAAGTGTAAGAGAGCTCTTCCGACGTCACGTTATCCACATGCATTGTGAATCAGTGGAACAACCTTCCGGTATATCTTGTCACTGCCCAGGAAGAAGAATGTTCCAAGCAACGGTTGGATAACTACATGATGAGAACTGGATTCCGCTGTTTTTGATGCAGTTGTGATCATTGGATGGTAGAGAACAGAAGGAAGATCCTTTCACAGTTCCTTCACTTCCCTACCATTGCGGAGATGGCATGAGTTTTTCGAAACAAGGTTCTGCTGCAGCTACATTAGAAGCAGCAGAATCCCAGCGCACTCAAGTGTGAATCCAACTGTTGTTTGCAACTTTCGTCTGTCTCAGCATCGACGGTAGGATCCAGTAACCAGTTCCAACCATTCACTACGCGAGTTGATAAGGCCAGATTAAGCCGCACATGGAGATTTCTCGGTTTGAACAGTTTCAAGCAGTGACATCGTGTCGTAAGAAGTCCTGTAACTCGCACCTCGGCTCACTGAATACTGTATTACACAGCAAGTAGAAATGAATTCTGTGCAACTCTTACGAAATATGGTATAAAACGTTATAAAAATGTCAGCCGTGGATGTCGTTATCGTTCTCATGTAACATTTAAAATAACTGACTCACGGTATTGCCGGACTCACAAATGTGACATGTCATCGTAAGTGTGCAATCGTTCTCTGAATCGAATGGTGGTAAAATTTATATTTAACAACGCTTTGAACTGCTGCACAGATGTTGCCTCTATCACATGTTCAAGCAAACTGTTCCAAATATTTACCAATCTCCGTTTGAAGCACAGTGGGTAGGGAACTCGCTTCACATCCGGCACGACAAGTTTGTATCTGTGTCCACATGTGCTGCATGGCCCTCGTAAGTGCAGCATTGGCCTCAGCATGGGGAAGTCACCGAGATATAGAATACGGTAGGTCCTAATGAGGTCGACTTGCACCCGACGGTAGGACAAGGTGTAGAGTCCCAGTTTCTCGCACTGGTCTTCATACCCCAAGCCACGTAGACTCGGGATAAGCCTAGTAGCAATGTGTTGGACCCGTTCGATCTTTTGTGCCTCGTCTCGGGTAATCGGAAAGTAGGTGGGCGAACCGTCTGTAGCATTGGTTTAATGATGGAAGACCATGTGCCGAAGCTACGTTTGAGCGCCCAAAGCATACGCAGTCTGTTACGACATAGCCTGTTCGCGTTGTTCACGGACTTCAAACCGTAGTGCAAGAGTACATCTAGGTCCTTCACGGAGAGTGTGGGATATAACGGTTGGCCGTCAAGGGTGTAGTTTCGGCCGTCAACACCCTTCCCTAGGCTCATAAGTACAGAATTGGCTAGGTTGACCGAGAGATGAACTTCTACAGACTATGTGGATAGGCGGTTGAAGTCTTGTTGAAGTAGGCCACAGTCGTCGGGAGCGTGAGTTTCTCTCCAAATCTTCATGTCGTCCGCAAACAAGGCACATGGCGATCAGAGAAGCTGAGGTAGATCATTGATGTGGATCAGGAACAGAGTGGGCCCCAGTACAGTGCTTTGAGGCACGCCACTTGTAGAGGGATACCAGTCAGTTAGATGGTCGTCGACCTGTACCCTCCACTTTCATCCAACACGAAACTCGCGGATCCACCGGTGCAGTGAGCCACCGACACCGCACATCCTGAGTTTGTGAAGGAGAACCTCATGGCTGACCTTGTCGAACGCTTTACTGAAATCGATGAATATCACATCGACAGACTTCCCCTTGCTTGTTGCCTTCAACCACTCATGCCTCGTCACAAGCAAGTTTGTAATGCATGATCGGCCTTGCATAAAACCGTGCTGTGCGTGCGTCAGGACATCACCAGGTTTTATGTGACCAGTGGACCGAATATGCTGGAAGAGCTGGTGAGTACTGCCAGAAAAGGCAGCGGCCTCCATTTCCGAAGTACGCTGAGACCACCAGGCTTCACGATCATTGCGTACACTTTGTTTGACAGAACGGCATACTTCAATTTGATTAGAGTCTGCTAGGATATTCCTGCGGCGGTCAAATAGATCCAGGTAGTGCGTGGAGATCCAGGCCTTCATAGGGTGATGTGTAAGTTCACAGACTAACTGCCCTGACTCAGTCATGCTCCTCTTCATGAACGTCCAGTGTTCATCAATGTCTTGCGGTGGGTTACAGCTGCGTTCATCGGTCAGGAAAGCTTGTTATCTCTGTTGAACTGAGGGAGTAGATAGTTTATTCGTAACTACTATACAACGCTTCCTTTTGGGGGATCCTCCGAAACTCCTGCTGTTGTTCGCACAAACAAGAGCGGGGTCTGAATAAACAAATGTAAACCAGATTGATCCGCAATCCTTTACACTACCTCACCATCTGACACTGCGACATGATCAATCTGAGAACATGGTTGAGACACAGAAGGGGATCATCAAGTGGGGGAACGTCTCCTCGAATGTCGAAAGCTGGTGCTCAAGAGAAACAAACGATTGTCTTCGCACAGTGGGAGAAGTCTCTCTCATCGAGCGCATGGTGACAACCCAAGTAACTTTCTCAAGATAATAGACCCGTGCATTGAGATCTCCAGCAAGGACAGCAATATCGAATTTTCAAGCTCTGCTCAAGAACTGACGAAGTTCATTGTATTAGTCCTCCTTGACCGATTTGCAATTGCAGTCATTTGGAGCGTAAGCTGAGATCACAAACAAATTGCGTCCCACCTCACGACATCTGTTGCTCCTGCATGATCCCGAAGTCGGACTGCACACAGTCGGCTATTAATCGGAAACCAGTCCAGCAGTGCAGCCTCCTTTTTGCTACTTAGCGGTACACCAACGCCGGCCAAGCGTGTCACAGCTGCCTATGTCACCAGGTGAACTTAGGTGAAATATTGCTCCGGAGTCGGATTTTCCGAGCGTGTTTCGGAGAGACAGGAAACATCGCTGGCGAGGGACTCCATGATGTACGCCTGACCAGCTTGCTGCCCGATGTACTTGAGTGTACGTACATTGAAGCATGCCAGACGGAAGGTAGATCGAGGCCGAAGGACAGCCACTGGACGAGTTCTGTGGACGTCGACGAAACCATCTGGATTGGAATCTTGGAAACAAGAATTGGCTGATTACTGATAAAAGTTATTGGCAACACATGAACTGGTGGCATGCGAATGTATGTGAGTAGCGGAAGCAAAAGCAACTGAGAGCGATGTTGCGGATGAACAATCCATGATTTTGTCAGTAGACGTGATACTACCCGGTTGCCCAAGCCAAAGTAGGGAGTTGTCAGCGTACACCAGCCCGAGCCTTTGGCTAAATAGGTTACCCGCATTGCAGCTCACTGGACCGGCTACGGCCTCCACTCCGACCATTGTGCACTACATTAATGGTGTTGCGAGCAGTTACACTACGGCTACTCTGTTGATCGGTGCAACCTGACTCACTATATTTTCCAAATCAGAGCTGACTCATCCACATGGAGTCAATTTTTGGACATTTTCTCTATCCAGTACCTTACGAGGTGCATGGTATCTACGTTCTTCCCTACTTGGACACAAAGGTACATGAAATGATGACGACTGTCGGTCTTCCTCCTGAGACACTGGAAGAGGAAGTGTATAAGCAACTATTAAGCTTTTTCCCGTCCATTAATGCTCAGTGGAACGCAGGTTCGACACATATTCATGGGAGTCGGTCCACTCATGTCACCCAAGGCACGCTTGCATAGGTGCAGGCAATCTCGCAGTCTCCCTCTTTGCATGCAGCCATTGGTTGTTGTGTAACAGCGAAGCGTCCGTTTCGGTGCATTGCTAATACCTGCCTCACCCTATCACCGTAGCGTATTCTGCATGAATCATGGCTTCACTGCAAACTGTGAGAAAAGTACAACTTCATCGGAACTAGATTTTATTATTTCTTTAATCGTATTAACCAAAGTTGCCCGTTCTATTGCCACATCTGTTTCAAGATTGTGAACGTCTTGGTTGTCCCCCCCCCGTTTGTCTGTTTTTCCCCCCACCTCAGAGTTCTTCCCGACTATCATCTGCGCCTCTTTGGAAAGATAACCCAATCTGCCATTGTGCATTCCTTGTGTAAAATGCATAGGTGTAGGTTCTGCATATCGAAAACCAATCATATTTCATCGCTCACGTCTTATTATTTGCACGGTATTCGTCACCTCCCCGCATAACCATTCATTATCCACGTGTTCAAGATTTGTGCGTAGAATCAATGCAGATGCCTGAGAATAGCTTCTTGAGCTAAGGTCATGTATAACACATTTACATTTGAATCTTAGTGGTATTCCTTCCTAAATGTAGCATCTTCAGTGTATCTATCCATGTCTCCTTTTGGCGTTGTTTTGAGAAATCGATAAATCGAGTTTGATTTTTTTAGGCATTGACATACAACTGTTGCTTGTGGGTTTTGGTACAAAGCCACCATGCAGTACTGCTTGCGCGCTGTATTCTTAGGAGAACCATCTTGTTGACCATTGTTCATTGTTTACGCTTATGAGAGTCGATTTTACTTTAGACCCACCAAGCCCTTGTCTTTCAGTTTCTTTAGCTTTGTCTGCTATTGTGTATCGTTTGCCACAGCTTTCTTTGTGCCATTCCACATGCCGTTTTCTTTTGCCTTTGACAGTAAAATTTCGGGGTATCAAAACTTTTCTCTTTAGTTGGTAGGGGGAATTCCTTTTTATGGCTACGCTATTTAGTCTGCCAGTTATTAGACACCGCCGGATCATGTCCACGCATTCTTCTCTGCGTGCATCCTCGTTCACATTGTAATTACTTCGACACTTCGCTTTTGTTGTAGTCCCTGGTTCTGTTGGAGTTTCTTCTGAAGAATGGTTCAGATCAAGTTGCCCCCGGTGCCAGGGAGAATATTTACGATCTGCGTGGTCTCGAATCCTTCCATTTTATCGATGAAAATGGCAAGGATCAAGGAATAAATGGTATATTTCTGGCCAGTTCTCTGTAAATGATATTATCTCAGACCTTTCTCGCCACCGAAACCACTTTCTTTTCGTTCTTGTCCTGGTCCATCCACTAGAACATATTTGTTTTTGCTTCTGATATTGTTGCCAGTCTGCGCCTCTGTCGTAATTGCGTCTATTGTATATCTTCTTGTGTTCTTTTCTTCTTACCTGGCTTTCACGTTTCTGAAGTAAATCTCATGTGTTGTTCTGATGTGTAGGCCGCCGCGGAATTCGTACTCATGCTTATTCGAGCACCCTTTCTTAAAGTAGAGAAACATTCTAAAATGACTTTCATTGTGCAGAATTACCGCTTTCCCGCGACATAAGCTATGGCCGCAACTCTCGTTACAAACAGTGAGCTGTGTGCCTTATACTCTTTCAAAACTTCATTGCCCCAGGTTTTTATTGTCACCCCTTGTCCTCCTTTTTTGACATTGTTTCCACTTTTGTTGTCGTTTGTTCACTCTTTATCGCACTGTTCCCTTGTTTCTTTAAGTTCGCATTAAAGTCCAAGAAATCATCGACCTCCTTCAAGATCCAGAAAGACTAGAAGCTGAGCGTTCAAAAGCGAAAGTGAACAGTAGAATTTATTTTGGCCGTTACGCTTCCGATCGCATGGAGTCGAATACATCGTCGTCGCACCCTAATCGGGTAACTCGTCACTGGAGGTAATGAATCATTCTTTACTCACAGCATTGTGCTCTTTTTTCATTTCGCTCCATCACAACCCTATTCACAGCTACCTGCTTGGCCCTGTCTTGATTCACTTGCTTCGTCAATCGCCGTGTCATGCTTATTCTGGATTCTCACATCACTGGGGATTCACAGCAGATCCTGACCAGGTAGCTGATTTACCGAACTTCGTAGGCTTGTTTGTTTCTGTCCCAAAGCCAGTGCTGATGTCTTCTTATCGATTCTGTTGCACAACTACTCGTTCACTTTATGTACGTGCACTATCGATCACCTTTGCGTGTCACGGTACTGATGCCTGATCCATTTCTGTTCATCTACCTAAATAGGATCCAATTGCCCCACATTGAAAGAAAAAGCAAGGGTACGTCGTGCCGACGCTTCGCCGTCACGCGATCACCATCAGTCGCGTGAGGGCTGAGTATGCCGCGACTTTACCCGCACATACGCGATTCGGACAGGTAACCTCAGGATTACAACGCAGGCGCGCTATCATTTCTGTCACCGGCCGACGCACCACATTGAAGTGGATACAGTTGCTCTCACTATCACTGCTGTAGTAGTCCTTACAGTGGAAAACTACATGTTCTTTGCGCTTGAAACCCGGATGCAAATATCCACGATATCCACTTTGATTTACTAAGGAGCGCCCAATCCATTTCTCTTGACGTTAGTCACCATAATAACAATAATAAACTCGCGATGAATGGACTGGAATTTTAATTGTCAGCTGGATTAGTCATAGACTCGGAATGAGAAAACGAGTGCTACCGTTTTCTTGATTTCGAAACATCCGAGAAGGTGTCGAACCACTGATACGGCCGGTGCCGAGGTCAACTCTCGGCCAGAGGACAAGAACCAGCCATACTCAGCCGTTCGGTTAACTTCTTCATGTTATTCTTCCGCGTCGTCGACAACACCATGACTTTCACTTCGAACAATATTGTCGCCCTGGCCGTCTCAGAGGATAATCAACGACACCCTATCTGCCGCATCGCGCAAGTTGGATAGGGGTGCGGATGCTACTGCTCAGGCTTTCACGTCTTCATATCCCCTCTTCACCTTTTCTGCTTATCGTCCCGCTCCAACTTTACCTTTCTCCCCCTGTTTCCAACCCCCCAATTTTCGACCTTCCCTCATTTTGCTACAATAGTCGCTTGTCTTCTAGTTTCGACTCACCTAGTCGCAGGGCATCGCTCCGGTCTAGTCGATAAGTCCATGTTCAATCATGTTCAACGTCAGTTTATCCGTTTATATTTGAATCTCTTGATCCTCCCTAAGACTGGCATGCCTTAACGTGCGCAGCTTCGCGCCGATCGGCCAATGGGCAGCACTTTTCCGAACGCTGACAGCCTTATCGATCAACATCTACCAGCCTGTAGCCGCAAGAATCATGAACCTGCTTTGTAATCCTCAGGTCGCGGCTTCGAGCCTTCGTAGGGAACTGGACGACGCTCGCAGTATTCCTAGACCATGAGTAACTGTTTATGGTTTCGCGACAGCAAAGCGTTGGTACGGTGAATTGGCATACTGTCCTTGCCTTTCTGCTGTTTATCAGAAATCCGCCTGCAAGATCAGAGTTCTGTGATTACTCTGCGATCCCTAACATGCGCTTGTCCAGATATGATAGTTTCAAATGCTGATCAGGCCGGTGTCGGCAATGCTTCGTACTCTCAGGCCGAGTCTGCCCCGATCAGTTGGATCCCAATGAACAGTCAGCTGTGCGTCGGCAGATTGGCTGGCTCGTTCAAGGGCTTTTAAGTCGCGCGCAGACAAACGGTATTTGCTTTGCTTTTCGGCCGATGGCCGAGTGGTCTGCGCGCCTGGTCTGCAAGCATAAGGCCATCCGTTCGAATCCGCGTAGGGGCGGGCGTCCTTGCTGTATACTTGGCCCGCGCGCGACTGCCAGTGGTCGCGCTGCAGCAAAGCGCTGTTACGGCGTACAGCTGACACATTTCCTTCATCACATACGTCCCCCCAAGTTGTAGCGCTGACTCGGTGAAAGATAACTTTTTTCACCAACTGAACGCCCACCCTTGTTACGGAAAAAGTACGGATACTGTAGTGTTTATTGTTAATTTGAACTTTTAATTTGGAAAGCTGTCCACTTATGAGTTTCATCGGGACGGCCAACGCGGTGTAGGCTCTCATAATGATAACGGTGAATCGTTGCTACACCTGTGTGATGCTCGTCTATTTCTCGCGGGCACTAACTTTCGGCACTACACCCGCAAAAAGTGACATGGCGCCCACCCGCATCGGACCAGTCATTGACGCAGATCGGTCCTATGATGATCACTTACCGTTGGAGAGGATGTGTCCGAAACACTCGTTTTGGATCACCAGGTGGACTCCGATCACGCACCTGTTTGCACCGACTCGCTGGTGCGTTTCGGTGGACCCCCGCAACGGCGCTGCTGGCACATAAATATATGCCAGCTGGAGAAGCCAGATGTTCTGAATGCGTATCAAAGTACGCTAGCATTCTAAGCTGATTATGCGCTCTCTGAACACAGTTGAAGATTACTGGTCGCATTGCTGCCAGACGCAATTAACCGCTGACATTTCTTCGTGACAAATCTGATCGCCAACCTGGACATTGGGTCTCTAGAACCTCTGGATGCTCGCCGACGTATTCTGGCTGGAAGCGAACACATTGAAACTCTCAAAGATTTCATAGAACAATTGCGTCCTAGCTCGAAGAGAGACCGCGATTTTGTTGGTTTGATCATGCATCGGAAATAGAGACAGCCGTTGCCCTCGGTAACCATCGGAAGTTATTCCGTTTGATAAGAGTAACGGGCAGCAGGAGACCTGGTGTTAGCAAGACTCTATGCGATGAAAGTGTTTGGCCGATGCACAGCTTGTCAAAACGCTTGGATCGTTGAGCAGAAAATTTTGAGAAGCAGCTTAAGCCGCGAGAGTTACTAGCTTCTTTATCGGCCATTAATCGCCCGCCTCCATATCCCGTCACCTTAGATCCGCTATCTCTCACAGAAGTCGAACCGGAGATCATACTGTTTGAAATTGAATAAGGTCGCAGGAGGAGATAGACAACTTCCAGTCCCCTTCAAATTAGGGACGCCTGCTCTTGTTGATTTGCACAATTTAGTAGTGAAGCTGTGTGGACAGGGGCTGTCTCAGCAGACTGGAGGCGCTCCGTCATAGTCCCGATTTTCAAGGGAGACTCACATTCCGAATGCGGCAGTCATACAGAGATAAGCCTGATCTCAATTGCCTCTAAGTTGCTTTCCTCTATCGTCCTCAATAGACTGACTGGCACCCGTAAAGTTAGATTCATGAGTAACAAGCCGGGTTTCATCGAAGTTGCGACTGTGTTTGTCCCATCTTCACATTACCTCAGTCGTTGGAACACCACCATAGTTATCAGCGACTCATCGTAGTCGTTCTCCTAGATATCAAAGGTGCCTGCAATTCAGTGGGTCGATTTGCCTTTTGGTACTGTCTACTCAGAAAAGGCCAAACGATGACTTGGTCAAGAGGAATGAAGGACCTTACTTCGAAGTTGGCCTCGGTTGGAACCTCTCGGTTTCCTGTTTGGGGACCGATGGACGATGAACACTGTTATAAAATCTTCTCACTAGATGCAAGTCCAAAAATAACAATTTACTACTCCACAAAACTCCTAGCCCAACCGAAAGAAAAGAGCAAAACGCCAATGACCTGGACAAATAACGTATTAATCGCCGCCAACGAACACTGTACAACGACTGCGGACCTTGGCTGTATTTATAGGTCTCTACTGACCTTCGACTTCTAGAATTGGAAGGTCAGCTGCCAAGGTTAGTGGTTCCCCATATCTTTTCCCGAGGTGTCATGTGGCTTTTAATCCCGTGCAGAAGAAGAACATTCAGGAACGTTCGAAATCGATGCGAATGATTAATAATCGATTAATCGCTAAAATAGGGAATTTCCAAGGCAATTCTTACTTTCTCCCGGACAGACACATTTGGTTGGATACACTTGTTGACATGGCTAGGAGCAGACCTCATTGGCGTTTGTATTATGAGTTCCTTTGTCCATCCCCCTTAGCTTAGCCTCGCCCTCCATCCACTATCTCAATTAATAGGCATTATATAACTTGCGGAACGATGTCCATGCTTTACTGGTGGTTCAGCCGGCGTGGCTCTGTTTCACTTTTTCTTTTCTTTTGTATTGCGGCATCATAGCTGAGGTGTTTTCCACTTGCAGCTAGCGTGTATACTAATGAATGATGACTCAGAAAAGGTGTGCCCGAGTAATACGTAAACATTTTCTGAGGGCTTTACAAGCGCACTTTGGGTAGAGTTGTCGCAGTCTTTCAATGCCTCCAGCTGTTTAAGAAACGGATGCCCGCTGTCACCATTTTTTACAACTTTACCACCGACGATACCATGGAAACTCTACTTATCGGACACGACTTGGAAGATGTGCAGCTACTCCCCTGTGATCGACTTTTTGACTTAGAGTACATCCATGACATTACTTTTATTTGTGACAACTTCCATACGTGCCAACTAGCACTGGATATTTTAACTCTGGCTGTCGAAATGTAAAATGCTTCTCCAAGATTGGTAGGGATCTACTCCTGCACTGACTCTTAGCAGTAGCCGAGTGGAAGTCGTCGAGAAATGCAACTGGCTCAGCAGCTTTACTAGCTCCCGTGGGATCGAAGATGAAATCACAAGTGTATGTACTGTTCGCATTCGGGTTTTGTCTCGATTGTTCTTCGCTCCCTATGCATTCACGGATCTGATCTAGCAACATCCATCCACCACTTTGGTGCTCTAGTGTAAACGACCACAACGAAGACTGCGGTTTTTAAGTCAATTCAAGCATGTGCGTTTTCTGCACCCGGGATAGAACAATGTTCCACCACTCTGCAATCAAAATGGAGACAAGCAAGAGCATTTTGCAAAACTGGTGTCTAAACACATTTAATTAATATTTAAAATATGAACAACCGTTTATTGCGCCACATTTTCTTCAAATTACCGAAATCACCATATTTATGTTTAATGAACCATTTCATAAATTCCTTCTATTAGAGGTCAATTTCTATTTTCATCCTTTATTTCTAGCTGTTGGTAGTGTGAACGTAGTAGATATGCTTATTAAGTCATGTGCAGCTATACACACGCATATCCTTCACGTCGGCAGCTGTTTATCCATCGGAAACCTCCGTTTTTACCGATACGCACTCAATTGCGGTCGCTTAATTATACACGTTAAGTCATTTCAAAGGTAGAAATTCCATAAAATAATATAAAGAATATTGTTTATGGCGAGATAAGGAACATTAGACACTTATCTGAAGATAATTATTCTATTCTCGTCCAATTTTTGTTTGAATCTCTGTGCTGCAGACTGATGGAACGCTGTTTCGAAATAAGTGCTTGTAATTCACAGTTGTCTCGTCTTGGTGCGGTCAAAACTTTGGGGTTAGTAAATGATTTCGACACATCCAGCACTTTTATTGTCAATCGACTCGCTTTTTTCTCCTTTTTCGTAATCATCGTTTAGTTTTTTGCGGTTAGTTAGTTCTTAGTGAATGTATTCACTGCTCATTTCGTTGATGAAGTGCCTTCCTTTAAACAAGACTGTACACCCAGATGGCAATATACTATTTACTTGCAAGTCTGAATTTTCTCTCTTCTTTTTCTCTATATTTGGCCCTTGTGATCTTGTTCGATTCTGTGGCACAGTCAATCCTGCTGAAAGTATGCTATGTACTCTTTAGACTTTGTATTGGATACATTTTGGGTTTAAACGAACCAAGCTAGCCACTCATTCTGACCTCCCATCTTGCACTCACTCCGCTTCCGAGTCAGAATTGCCTTAAACAAGCACTCATTCGCGACCGCATCTAGGTTAGGTCTTGTGCTCTTCTTTCGCGGTCCACTCTGGGGCCTCTGTTTTGGTCGCACTGTTTCGTCCTTTCTGCGCCTTTTCCAATTAGGATCGTGAGATCTCTCGACTTTTACTTAAGTGTCATCGATTCCCTCTAGATCGATTTCGCCCACACTATACGTTCAGATATTAGCTTTCACTCCTTTGCTAAACCTGCATTAACGCTTAGTTGTTTAACCTAGTTAGCCGCTAGTGAATCAGAGATGAGCGGTTTACGGGAGGAGTGGACGGGACATGGCTGACATTGATCAACACTTATAATCCTCCAGGTACCTTAACTCATTCTTAAAATTATTCAGTGCCCCAATTGCTCACTTGTTCTCGTTACGTATTTTTCTGTGCGGCCTCAACGTGCCATTATTCACCCATACCATTGCAAACCTTTTATCAATCACCGTTTTCTGCCCTCTGTCTCCCCCCCCCTTCTCACCGTCTAACTCCGTACGTTCACTGGTGTGTGTGTTGCGCATCCTCCTTTAACTCTGTGTGATATGCCGATTGCACTCACTTAATTGCACCTCTAATCTGTAACCAATGGTTGATGCTTCTCCTCTCTAACCGCCACCCGCTAGATCCTCTTCTCGTGATACCTATGACGACGACGACGACGACGAGGTGGACCGTAACCGAGATCGTTGGACCCGCTTGTCTTCACCACAATCCGCCCATCAGCCAAACCGTTTGGGAAGTTTTGACGATTGGCATTTAGGCAGGGAGAGGGGAATAGTCGACGAGGTGGTGGACCATATGCGTGAAGCATGGGATGTTGCGAAAATAACCACTCGAGATTTATTCATACAGCGCGATTCTGATGTGCATCCTAAGTAAGCTGAGTGTGTCGTAGATTCTTACTGGTGCACCTAATCAGCAAAAGAATGCTTTCAAGGGGTTCGGTGCCTTCCGGAAGGACATTGTCAACCACATGACCATCAGTGTCTTGTTCCCGTTTATATTACATTATTTCCCCCGCTTTTGAGGCTGATGCGTACTACCGACTTCATCCTTTTTGTCCCCAATCAACTGCCACTGAAACCCACCCTGTATAATGGTGTAAGGGAGACTTTGGGTGCAATTTTCGATACAGATTCATCACAGCCACTGCAATCCGGAAAAGCACTGTACTGCCGTTTCGTCTTTTCTGGAATCGTCAGCAGTGCGCATTCCATCTGGCCATGGTTGAGACCACTGGTCCATAGAGTATGAGCGACTTGTACGGAGATTCTGCTTGAAAAATCACGGCTCAGGTGGCCAATACTGTCCTTTGCACGTTGGAAAAACGTATGTCAGCGGGAAATGGTTATATGTTCTGTGTCATAGCTTTTGCCTCACATCTTTCGGGGCCCACGGTTACCAACCACGAACCCACGGACAGATGGAATGTGCATTGCTGACTATTCCCTGAGAGGATGAAACGGCCGTCCGGTGTCTCCGCACGTGAAGCGACTGTCTGACTGAACGTGCGACCGTGGCGAAGCTCCATCGAGGACTCATTTTAGCTAAGCATCAAGTGTAACGGCCCGTAGCTTAAAGGCAACGAGCTGGTAATCTGATGTCGCGGGTTCGAACCTGCGTAGAAGTAGTGCGACACTCGCAGTATCCTTAACCTCATATGCGACCGGTGGTGGTTGCGCGGCAGCGAAGCGTCGGTACGCAGTACCGACGTACTGCTGATGCTTTCCATGCACCAGAAGTGGTTTTCGATTTAGATAACAACGACCTAAAAGTTACAGCTTTCTGTTTGTATACGCCATCCTGCGTCTATCGCCATGTCCTTGGAATTCCGTTTACTTGCATTTCCGCTCTTTTTAAACCGGATCTCTCAGTGGATTTGTGTAGAGCAGCTCAGGAACATGAACAAACCTGTTATGTGTTTCGACCACTTGCATGTTTTTGCTCTGTATGGTGAGCATGTAAACCCTATTTAAATATTGAGTAGTGAAAATGGAGAGCCAGAAAAAAATATATGTATTGCTTTCTTGTAGTTAGACCAGACACGTGCACCAATTCACGTCACTGATTCCTACGTGTTTGCTGCATATTACAACTGCATCATTCGGGTGCGATGCGCTCCATAAATTTGGAATCCGTCAAGCGGACATCTAGGAACTGCTTGAATTCTGACACCAATTGTGCCTCGATTATTGTGTCGGGCAAATTGTTCCAATGTTTCACCCGTCGCCGTTCGGGTTATAGAGAGTGAGCTACACGCTTCAGATCTTGCACTACAAACTTGTACTGCTGTTCGCGAACGTGCAGCAGCAGCCTCAACACGAGGGAGTGATCCAGATTCCATCTCCGATGCGTCATAGTGGGGTCAACACGAAACCAACGATACTATAGTGTGTGCAATCCTAGTCTGTGCCATTGGTTTTTGTACGACATACTCCCTAAATTGGGGATGAGTCTGGTAGCTACATGCTGAATCCGTTTCAGTCTTCTGCCCCTTATAACGTGTGGTTGGACAATAGGCGGGTGAGTCGTACAGTTTTATGATCTTTATCTGACATCTTTGGCTTGGCAGCCGATGACTTACTTGGTTTCAATTTTCAAAGCATCCCTACTAGACTAATTAGTAGGTTTCCTCCTCCAGACTTAGCCACGGCACTTTTCCATCCTATTTTACTCTGACCACAACCACCACCAGTCGCGCATGGGCTAAGGATACTGCGTGCGTCGTCCGATCCCCTACGCAGACTGGAAGCCGCGCCCTCAGGATTACAAGGCAGACTTGGGATGCTTACGACCACACGCCACTCATCCGAGTCTGTGTAGGTGCGAGTAATTTCGCGATGTCAAAGACCGTGTGTAACCGCTGGCGCTTGCGTGTCAGCGTAACGCAGCGTCGGCAAGAGTTTCACCGTATTGCTGATGCGTTCCTGGTATCTGAGGGTTATTCTACTTTCCACCTCCTACCTCATTGGCTAGTCATACGTAGACCGAGGCCTATGATGCTTCGGAAGAGAGAGACAGAACACTTTCCGTTACTGCGTTTCTCTGCTTATCTTTTGTTAACAGCATCGTTTATCCGCAGTGTGCTCTCTCATCGCACTTCAACTGTTACATCTTCCTTGTCCCTATGTGTTTTTGGTTTTACTAATATTCACTTGCTCTTTCGGCGATAACTCTCCTAGCATTCTCATGTGGCTCTGCTTTAAGGTGTGAACAATCGCTTGCTTTGCTGTTACGCTTTCTCATGTAACTCGCTTCTCCGCACTACATGCTTGTGATTTTACGCACCGCTTTCCCCCTACAGTTTACTGCCAGTTATGTTCTTCGTTATTTGTGCACCCTACTTGTTTCTAACACTGAGCAATTGTTGTGCATCCAGCGAATCAAACCCACGGATGGTCTCCGAGGAATTGTACCAGTTTCCAGATTGCGCTGTCGAAGTGGATGGCGCTTTCATGCAAAACTCGCGTGATCCCTCTCCTGAGGAGTTTGAGCTACCTGAGCCTGTCCATCAGGAGGAGCGTCCAAAGAGCGTCCCACAGAAAAACCACCGGGGCGCTCCCCCACCGTCGAGTAAACTGCAAGCCACCAAGGTGAGAATTACTTACGTTATTTGATATCACTTTAGATGACATTTACAACTTGTTTAATGGCATCTATGCTCGTTAAGTCTGCATTCTGTCATTAAGCAACCTTAGTATATCCACTGTCTATATCCGTTCATTCAGTTCCAGCAAGACTGCGTTTTTGGCGGCTCCCTACATTCCACAAGTTACTGCTTGCAAAAACTTTTGTACTTGTCTTTTGTCGATTCTATATGGACCAAGACTTGCTGATGATCCCATGAGTGGTGGTGTAATTTATTTCTCCGTCTGTGTCTGTTCGGTTGGCCTGTCAGCCGGAATCCGCCATTGATGCCACCGTCGTTCACTCTCCCAAAGATATATCATGGGTACATTTTACCTGGATCGAGGCATTAGTGACCGATAACAAGAATGATTTTAGACCACGCTTGTGTACCCACTTAGATACTTCATGCTGGTCATTGCGCCTATGACTACAGCCGTTATTGATTCTCAAAAGCCCGTTATTCCTACTTTTCTTTTGCTTGATACAATGTAACCAGGATTACATCGTTTCTGGACTCCTAAAATACACTTACTTTGTTTTGTGGCTTTACGCAAGTTATGCGTTGCTTTGTCCACTCACATGCGTTTTATCTGGTTGTGTTTTTGTCCGATTAACCGTAACCAGTTGATCGTCGGCCGGTGGCCGAGTGGTCTGTGCGCTTGCTTTGCAACCATAAGGTCACCGGTTCAAATCCGCGTAGGGGTGGGCGTCCTCGCGGTATGCTCAGCCCGCGCGCGACTGGTGGTGATCGCGCGGCAGCGAAGCGCCGTTACGGAGTACAGCTGACTCATTATTATTATTATTATTAACCAATTGATCTGGTGTTGGTATGTTGCTTCTGACTTTGTTGGCTGCTCTATCGACAATGTCCAATGTAACTGAGCGCCATCACTCACGGGTCACGCTTTTTATGTTTTATATTTTTGTTGCCGCCCTGACAGGTTTTCCTTCTCGACTACTCCATCTTCCCTCATCTTTGCTGCCCCTATTCCATCATTTAGCTTCATTACGGCTGTTTCGGGCAAAATTGATAATTCTGTTGGCAACACCTTCTTGTGTATCAGTGCACCCGCGCAGTCTCTAATTGTCTTGCTGACACCTGGTTTCTTGGGACCCGTGGTGTGGGTCAGCTGGAAGAGCTTGCGGTAATTGCCTAATGCTCCTGTCTCCTCTATTTCTTGAGCCAGACTGATCCAATAGGCTTCCTTCTCAGCACGCAGGCTCCGCTTTAGTTCGTGCCTAGTAGTCCGTCTGATCACATTGTGCTTTGAGCCGGCCTGCAGTTTTATTCTGGATTCCAAAAGGTTCGCCTACCTCTTGGATATCAAGCGACTGGTGCAGTGACGGTTGATAGTGCCACAAGCAGATGCTCCTGCGTCGTGCATGGCGGCCGGGATCCCATTGCACTGAAGCACTATGTCATTTGGACAAGACAGTGAAAGTTCGGTACTCAGGGTGTCTTGATAGCTTTGCTTGACCGACGGCTGAGATAATTTTCCCATTGCCAATCGGGGTAGACGCTAGATGTGCCTCCCAATAAGGTACATTGAGAAACGACAGCGTACCAAGGCATGATGTCAGTCGACGCAGGTATTCCTGACTAAGCGGTAATCCATGATGGAACCACGCCACCTGTAACTTATGGCAATGTGATCAATTTTGGACCATCGCTGGCCAGCTACAGCACGCCAACTGGCACTTCGGGGCCCACTGTGTCTAAAAGCGGTGCTACTAAGTAACAACTGGTACTCCACACACATTTGCAGCAGACGCTCACCGTTGTCAGTCCGTTCGGATCTAAGCCCATAAGTACCACCTAGCTGAGTTTCTGAAGAGCTCAGACGCTTTACTTTTGCGTTCATGTCCCCTGCAAATACTGTGATATCTGTACTGGTAGCACTGCGTAATGGCGCGTTCATTTCTTGATACAATGTGTCCTTGGCAGCATCAGAACTGCAATCGGTGGGAGCATAAGCGGAAATCACCAACAAACAGCGTGTTGTACTGCTTCGTGAATCAATCTAAGTTGTAGTCCTCAAACGAGCTGCACATAAACGGCTGTTCACCGGAACCCAATCTATCAACGATGGCTCTGCCTTGGAGCTTAGAATGATACCTAGCCCAGCTTGACCCCTGAGTGTTGCATCATCGTCTCCGGATGCACACAACCAATGGCGGGAGGACAAGCCGGGGGCAGTTAATTCAACAACCCCATTAAGGTCATTGATCTTAGTTTTGGACACACAACATACGTTACTAACCAGTGTGTCCAACGTGTGTGCTAGTGCAACCTGTTGACCCATTTTCTTAGAGTGCGAAGGTTGAACGCCGCCAGCGAAACGGGACAGCGTGGCCTTATGAGGGAAGATTGCCGATAGGCGTCCGGTGGGTGTTGCGGGAAGGTGACTGCAGATATTGTGACTCCAGTGGCACTTCGGTTGCTACCAATTAACCTGGCAATAATAATAATACCTATATTTCTCCTGATGAGAGAAACTGTCTATAGCGGCACAGATCATTTTATACGGAAGTATCCATGCTCTTGCATGGGTGACAGGCATAGATAGGGTTTTGGGATGTGCGTTTCATGTAGTAACGTTCTGCTGGATGGTTGAGGCCAATGCCTAGTGATGACCACATTGGGGTTTAGATGTTTTTGGGCCACTTTTGGAATAGCCTATCGAGGGATTTTTCCCTTGTGAATATAGCGATTGTGGTAGTTAGATCAATGTAATTGGCGAGTCTGCCACATTGTCACATGACCTGAGTGTTATTCGTAGTTTATTCCACAGGTAGCTCTATCTGACCAGGAAGAAAGTAGAGCCGACGTTTTTTCCAGCCTTCGGTAAATTCAGCGTAAAACCTTTGTTACGAGGCGCTCGAGTGGAGAAATGTTGTAAATTGTGTGTAGGCAGGTCGGATTAGGCGTTTTTGTGTAGCACTTTGAAATACAGAAACAAGTTGTGCTTCAATCACCGAATCCTAAGTGGTTCGAGATGAATTTCATTGCAAGAGTGTTTACCAGTCAGATGTTTGGTAAGTGATCTTTGCAGGTGCTGCACTGCAACTCTGTCACTCTTTTTCATATTGCCGTGTGTTATGCTGCAGTATACGAGGAAGAGGCGAGTGAGTAGCTTGAAAAGCTTAAGTCTAGCACGAGTTGTGTGGGTTTCCTTGGATATATTGAACATAGACTGTCTAGCACGTGCTACTTGGTATTGGGCCTGTTCGAAGAAATTGACGGTAGACGAGTACCTAATTCCAAAATGTCGCGTGGACAGCTGTGTAGGGACGCGTTCAATGTTTAGGGTGATAGATGCTTCGGGGATGCAGCAGCCGTAGGACATGTTGCTTGATTTCTTAGCCGAGGGGTTCATCACCCATGCGCTGCATCATGATCAAGGGAATGTAAGTCCTCTTGAATAAGCAGTAGCGTCCCGTGAAGCTCCTTAAGCCGAAGTTTATAGACGATCTTGATATCAACAGTGAAGAAAATTGCGTACCAGTTTATACAGTTGTGGTAACGTTGCTGATGTAGAAAAAAAGAGTGAGAGACCGAGTACGCTCCTTTGAATGACCCCGACTCCACAGGTGACGGAGTGTGGAGAAGAGCGATAGTCACCTAAGGTGACTACCTGATGACGACCACTCAGATATGATGATAGATAACCTGGTAATGGGTCACGGATCCCAAAGTTCTCCAATTTTTGTAACGGTCGCTTGTGGGGTACTCGGTCAAAGGTTTGGTGTATGTCAAGCAACAGGATTACTACTGCATAGCCAGAGTCGATTGATTCTGAAGTCTGGTTCTGGTAATGCAGTTGAAACTTGGTGTACGATGGCTTGCTAAGAAAACCGTCTGCGAATTATTGGTCAGGCCAATAAATCGACATAGTTCATCATCTTTCTGACCAGTTTTTCAAATAGCCAAGCGATTATCGGTGTGTGGTGAATTGATCGGTAGTTATCAATCGTTTGCATGGGACCTCCTTTGTGCCGAGGCATAATAAATAACGTTTTCCATTGGTCTGTAAAGTGGCTAAATTCTAGCGATAGAGTAAACATGGTCATCAGCATCTATGGTATATCAGCTCCTCTTAGTTTAATGATGATTGGTGAAATGCCATCAGATCCCAGCTTGGAAATGGCCTGATTGATTTGATAACTTTGTGGATACCGTTGAGTGAGATATTGACTCTACTTAAGAGGTTTGTTACTGTAAGCTCTGTGCACACAGGTACAGGGTCAGCTTCGCGACTTATGGTAGGGGCCAAATAGTCGCTGAATGCTTCACAGATTTCAGCTTGATCATGGAGTAAATGATCCTTACCATCAACAATTTCGGTAATCAGAGGAGAGCGGTCACTGGTTCTACAATGCACTATTTTGACATGCTCCCTAGCTTTGCAGCTTGTCCTTAAAGTTATATGTTCTTCATTTTTCGTCGTGTTAATTGTGCATGTTTAACTCTGGTGGTAAATTCCTTCATTTTAACATAAGTGAAGTCATGCGTCTTTCTGTATGGAAAAAATAAGTAATGGGCTCGGGATGGGAGCAAGAGAAATAGGTAAAAAAGAAAGGAGGCGCCAGTAGTAGCACGTTTTCGCTTATCCGCCCTGCTTTATGCAGCAGGTTAGGCGACACTTGCTAATTTGCGGACGGTCGACGCAGGATGTAGATAGAGTTTGGGAAAATTGTCATGGTTGTATGAGGGCTGAGATACTGTCAGGGCACTGTTGCTTTTACGCGGTGCGTCAGTCCAGCTCCATGCCAGTCACCTATTAAACTTACTATTGGTTACATCCACCAGCGTCAGTGTGTGTTTGTCCGTTAACGCTAGTCAACCATTGATTAGACTGACTGAACTTGTGTGAAGCATTGTGTTTGTGGCCACACAATGCATTCTGTGTATTGCTGAAACTGACGTGTTCTACTTTCGTGTGCTACGGGCCGAATACTGCGT